TCGTTATTGTATTTAGGGTTGGACCAGAGCTCCCTGCAGTAATTGCAGAGCGTCCAAAATGCTGCAGCCCGTCTGTTGATGAACACAAGGAGGCACAAATCTATTTTCCCCATTTTATAGAGCTGTACGATATCTCGATATTTTAAAAATATCAATATACTTTTTTTTCTGATATAAGTTGAGACTATCTCGATAAAAAATGGTATAGTTTTATACTTGGAAATCCTCCTGCCGTCTTCTTTCTCCAACTCGCCCCCCTCCTTCTCCCTCCTTGAACACAACCACATAGCCCTCAGCCGTGCTCCCCCTCCCCTTCCTGCTTCTCCAGGATGTGGGCGGACAGGAGGAGAGGAGACGTTTAGCAGACGTAAACACGAGCAGCTGGGTGTGTGTGAAGCTCCAGGTCCAACAGATCTGTCTCTTTCCTTGAAATAAACCACATTTCAGAACTCATTTAGCCGTGCTGTGCCTTTTAGAAGAACAGAGAGAGGTAATTAATTAATAAATCAGCATATTATCATATCGCTAAAGATACGGTCCTTACCGTCTTGTTCCACAGCTGAGACAGTACCGTGTCTTAGCTATATGATAAAGCTGCCAATTTATTAATGTCGCGCTACCTCTCTCTGTTCTTCGAAAAGGCACAGCACGGCTAATTGAGTTCTGAACCATGGTTTATTTCAAGGAAAGAGATAGATCTGTCTTTCTAAAAAAAAATTGGTATCTGTACTGGTGTTGGTATACTGGTGTTCACTTCGGTGTCAGTTCCTGGACGGTTCTTTTTTCGGTATCAATTTTGTAATTACTATTAATTCTAACAAGAATAAAATTGTTACACAGTACAGTACAAATTGTGAGTTTTATTTTTAAACTTTCGTATTTTTCTATTACAAGCAGTTTCCTTACATAAAAATAAATAAATAAATTCCAGTTCAAAAGAAAAGTTGCAAACAACAAGTGACATGTCAGTGTCTAATGCTCACTGCTACGCACTGAGGACCTTTTCACTGAACAGTTTGTCTTCAGAAACATCAACATGTCTGTTTTCTCTGGACACAAACCAGCTGCTCCTGGCTGATGATGTCTCCAGCAGTAGAACATGTTCACTCTGAGGCTGTAGATGATGATTGTTGCACACACAGATACCTGCCAGTTTGATAGCACTGACATGGTGTCCCTCACATTCCACCAGAGGGTCACTGGATTCACTGAGGTTAGGGTTGATGCAGACTTCTGCACCTCTGTGTGTCTGCCTGAATCTTCTCTGTGGTTCTCTGGGGTTTAGGGCTCTGATCATCTCCCTAATAGACATGAGAACAAAACATCAACAATAACATGGTTGTGTTGTTATTGCTCAAATAACATCTAGGCTGAGAGATTAAAAAAAAATCCTTTACAGCTTACCTTACCTCCACCATGCAGCCTCCATTGTAGAAAAAGGCAGCAAACTTTTAACAACAAAGTTTGTGATTGTCCTATGGCCCCCACCTCACTTTTCTTTTTTTGTCTCTGTCCTCACATCTGGGTCAGAGGCTCCTGTGAGGCGAACATTAACATAAACAGTGAACATCAGGTGAACTGTTTAAGAAGCTGATCCTATGGATGAGCACATTTTTACAAGCCAAGCTTCATCTGTTACTGTCAATCTTTAGTTAGCTTCTGAGTTTAGCTAGCTACTTAGATAAAATAAATTTACACGCTAATATCTTAAAGTTAGCGTTACATGGATTCTCGTTTAATTCACCACGACATATGTGTTAAGCTGCAGTAACGTTAAGAAACGTATACTCACCAGCTGAAACACACACACAGCTCCGTCCTCAGAGTTTTTTTATGAAGACGAGTCCGGCCGTGGAATGTTGATTGAGTCCGTTTAACACACACAGACTGACTAATGCTGAGAGGAGGAGGGGGGAGGCTGCTGTCCTTCTCTCTTCTTGCAGAGAAACACGGAACAACTGTCAGCTCGTGTGTTGTCGAAGCCGTTCGACAACACACGCTGCACACGTGAACTCCGTCTGTGGGCATCACCAGCACCATAGACATACATTATACATAGATTAGATATGGCAGCTCTATACAGCTCTGGGTGTAAACACGTAGTCTGTTTGTCATATGTCTGGTGTTTTACCTGCCTGCGTGCTAAAACCACGTGACACATTACAGCCAATACCGAAACTTGACACCAAAAAAAGAGTGACGTTTCAATCCATACACCGACCGGTGCAGATCGGTGGATGCCATTTAAGAACCTCGGTTCGGTACTCAGCCCTATTCATACACCGATGGGACACACATCAGATGCAATGAGGGATTCAGTGTCTCACTCAGGAACACTTAAGCATGTGACTGCTGGTGGAATTAAATCCCCAACTCTCACATTGGAGGACGACTGCTCTAGCCTCTCAACCACAGCTGCCCCCAGCTGAAGAAGATTATGATTTAATATATGTAATTAGATGTCTAAAAAATACACTATTTAATATATGTATATAGGTCTTTTTTAGGCATTTATTTTGTACAGTTACAGTTATTGTTAATAAATGTGGCTGTGTGACAACTGGGAAAAAACTTTGACTCTAATATATTTTGTTATTACTTTATGGAACAAAAAAAACTATATATATGTATGTATATCACAGTTTTTGTAAAAATATTGAGATATTTATTTTGGTCCATATCACCCAGCCCTACCATTTTACACCCCCTTCACTGGCTCCCTGTTGCTTTTCGGGTGAAATTTAAAGTTTTATTGATTGTTTTTAAGTGTTTAAACTCCATGGGCCCATCTTACCTAAGCGAACTGCTGCATCCCTACACTCCATTCAGAGCCCTGAGGTCAGCCGCGACTAGCTCTTGTTGGCTGTCCCTAAAGCGAGGTTGAAGACTAGAGTTGACAGAGCCTTCTCTGTGGCAGCACGCAGACTGTGGAACAGTCTCCCTCTGTCTGTGAAGCTCTCTCAGTCACTAGATCAGTTTAAGTCCAGACTGAAAACACATCTATTCTCCCTGGCCTTCAACCTCAAAATTAGTACCTGTTAGAGTCAAGTTTTGGGGAAATTGCAGCAAATATGAAATAGTTGGTCTTGGTTTTTATTAGTACTATTTTATTAATATTTTACTGCAAATTGTATAATACTTTTGGGTTTTTTTAGCTCAATTTTCTTTTATGATAGTTTTATCTACGATGTTGTAGTTCTTGTGTAGCACTTTGGTCATCTGTGATTGTTTTTAAATGTGCTATACCAATGCACTTTGAATTAAATTGAATGTACTGTACATCATGATGTAAAGGTTATTTCAGGAAGCCCTCCAATTGCATCATATCTTTATCTTTACTTTGTCATTCCCCCGTTCTCAAGAACACAGAGGTGACAGTGGAAATAAATGATTCCCTTTTAATAGAAATAAACTTACAGCAGAACCAGAACCAAGCTCAGAATTACAGTAGCTGCCATCTTCCTCGACTGGCTAGGATTAAAGAAGACAGGAAAGAGACAGAAATGAAAATAGAAGGATTTGCCCAAGTGCGGTTTCTATCGACCAGGTGGAGTTTCTTTAGGAAGATAAAGGGTAGTGACAGTAGTATATGCATGTCTAAACATGGAAAGTATAGACAGCAGCAAAGTGAGGAGATGTGGTCAGCTTGTCCTCCAGCAGTCTAAGTCTATAGCAGCAGAACTAAAGGATAGCTCAGTAAACCCATGGCACTACTACCTATAGAATTGATCAAAAACAAAAGTCTTAAAAGTAAAACAAATGTCAGCTTCACAAACAAAAAATGGAAGTTGGTTCCATAAGAGAGAAGTCTGAGAAATTTGCCTCCCATTCTACTTTTAGTAACTCTAGGAACCACAAGTAAACCTTGCATAAACAAAAAAAGATTTATTTTTCCCCATTAATAAAAATCTCAGTGGTGACACCTGATGATGGCTGTGGAACTCCTAGTAAAGAAGACATTTAGAATTCAACTAATTATCATTAAGAGTACAATCAATCTGTCTTTTAAATAATGTTAAATAAACATTATTTACTCAAACAATGTTTGCCATTCATTTTATTTTATTTGGTTTTTTTTTTATACACACTTTGAAGGAAGATGTGTTACGGTGTAGTCTCTGTCCGTCCGTAAACTTTCTTTTGTCCCATCCGTAACTTCGGATCCACTCGACATAATTGAATCAAACTTCATGGCACGGTGGATTGTGTTCACTGACAATGCTTTCTGGAAGTATTCCTGAGCCCATTCTGTTATTTCCTTGACAGTGGCATTCCTGTTTGAGGTGCAGTGACGTTTAAGGGCCCGGAGATCACGAGCATCCAGTAGAGTTTTACGGCCTTGACCCTTACGCACAGCGATTGTTCCAGATTCTCTGAATCTTTTGATGATGTTATGCACAGTTGATGATGATAGCTTAAAAGTCTTTGCTATTTTACGCTGGGTAACACCATTCTGGTATTGTTGCACTATCTTTCTGCGCAACAATGGTGGAATTGGTGATCCTCTTACCATCTTGGCTTCTGAGAGACACTGACTCTGAGAAAATCTTTTTTTACCCAATCATGTTGTCAATTGACCTAATTAGTGTTAATTGGTCTTCCAGCTGTTTGTTATATGCTCAATTTCCTTTTTCCAGCCACTTATTGCTACTTGTCCCAACTTTTTTGGGATTTGTTGACACTGAAATTTTGAATCAACATATTTTTCCTTTAAAATGTTACATTTACTCAGATTAAACTTTTGATCTGTTATCTATGTTATATTACGAATAAAATATTGACATTTGCCATCTCCACATCATTGCATTCAGTTTTTATTCACAATTTGTTTAGTGTCCCAACATTTTTGGAATCCGGTTTGTAGAAAGGCTGCTTGTCATTGCCATAGATTGCTTTATAATAGTTTGCTGATGACCATGTGATGGTTGTGGATCTCTTGCTTGTGCCTGTAGCATAATGGTATTGTTGTAATACTGTTTCTGCTCCCATCTTTGTTTCAGATGGAGATGCATTGGAGAGGAGCGGAGTGTGTACAGGTTTGAAAGCAACACTAATGACTCCCCTCAGTCTATGAAATGTCTGTTTACAGTGGTGCTTGAAAGTTTGTGAACCCTTTAGAATTTTCTATATTTATTCATAAATATGACGAAAAACATCAGATTTTCACACAAGTCCTAAAAGTAGATAAAGGAACCCAGTTAAACAAATGAGACAAAAATATTGTACTTAATCATTTATTTATTGTGGAAAATGATCCAATATTATATATTCGTGAGTGGTAAAAGTATGTGAACCTCTAGGATTGCCTTGGATTATTAGATTATTAAATTTAATGTTTCTTTAAAATGTGTCTAAAATGATGTTTTAGGCCATTTTCATGCAGAAATACAAACCTTTCTCAAGGATTCACAAACTTGAGCACCACTGTACTGTATGTGTGAAAGGACATTTTATTAACAAACTGGGCCGTGAATCATCTGGAGCCCAGTCATGTTTATGCTTCCTTACTATACAACGGTAGTCTTTACTTTGATTTTAGCGTTTATTAGTGTTCAACATTTTCTGAACTCTGTTAGAGAGAAGCTGCAGCCACCAGATGCAGCCGGTGATGCTGTCCCAGCTGAAGCAAAACCATCCAGATGGACCTCACCATGTCAGAGTCCAGCTCAGGTCGTACGAGCCCCGCAGGCACCACCAGGCTTTGAAACTCTTCTGTAGCAAGTGTTCATCAATGTAGGTTCACACACAGACACTTTATTGAAGATTAACGTCCAGGTTTTGTCTGCTTGACTCTTCTGGACTTTGTAAATCACATCAGTAGAAGCTAGACACAGCATGTTCATTAGGAGGAGAACAAATAGGATTTGTGTCTGGAGTATTTTCATCTCAAGTATAGTTCTGCGAAAACGTTAAGAACAATCAATATCTTACTTGTTACAGGTAGCTTTTTGAACAGCTGCAGTTTGACAAGTAGAGTTTAGGTTCAAAACTAATCTTTTCTTGTGAGCCGTATCTGACAGACCTATACACCACTATCAGTTGCACATTGTATGGTTATTCGCATAACATATCGCAAGACTCCATTCTCAGACCTCTTCTCTTTTTTTTATACCTGCTGCCACTAGGTGGTATTTTTTGTAAACACAACATCCCTTTTTTTTCCCCCCAACATCTCCATAGTCAAGTACTGGCAAAAAAAGTAGCTGTGATCAAAAGCTTCCTTGCTCTAAGACAGAAAGATGATTTGTTTCTGAAGAAGAACCCAAGCTTCACCCTTAATTTGGAGATTAGGTGTTTCACATGAAATTTAAAAGAAAGTTCCTCGTCAATAATTAAGCCCAGGTATTTATAACTGGAGACCCTCTCGAGAACTTTACCTTGAGCAATTTTTATTAGAGGGATATTCTCCAATGGGACAGACAAATAATTAAAAAAAAAGATTTTAGATTAAATGCACAACTTCCATCAAAGCTACAAAACGTAACTATTTCTTATCTCAGAACTCCAAAAATCTAAATGTCCCTAAAAGATTATGGGATACCATCAAATCTCACTCAGGCAGCTCCCAATCATCTGACCTCCCATCTCAACTTCTTGTTAACTCTGTTCCTGTGTCAAATAAGCACGAGATCCTGAACTGTTTCAACAAACATTTTGTCGCTTCTAGTTCTTAATTTGACACATTTACTTATGGTATATTAGCCACTCCCCCTAAAAGTCAAACTTCTACAAACCACACCTCTCCTTCAAGTCGATCTTCAGTAAATCACACCTTTTCTCTTTCCCCGTTCTCATTTAGTGAGGTTAATAAGTTGTTAAAAGGTCTAGACTCTAAAAAATCTGCAGGACCAGATAAAATTCCACCTTATTTCTTCAGGCTGGCTGCTCATAACGCAGTACTGGTGTCCCACATCTTAAACCTGTCCATTAGCCAAAACTCCATCCAGACACTTGGAAAACAGCCTTTGTTCTTCCTTTGCTGAAGGGAGGTGACCCCACCTCACTGAACTATCGACCAATCTCTAAACTCTGCATTTTAGCCAAGGTTCTAGAAAAATGATAAACTCTCAATCAAAAATTACCTGGACTCATTTCACATCTTACCTCTCCATCAATCTGGTTTCAGGAAATGACACAGCACGACGACTGCTTCACTGAAGGTTCTTAATGATGTTGTTGAAGCACTGGATGCTAAGGATTATTGTGCTGCACTTTTCTTAGACCTGTCTAAAGCTTTTGACACTGTGGATCGTAACATCTTGTGTCATAAGATCTCAGAAATCGGTTTCTCAAATCATACCATTGGTTGGTTCTCCATCTTTCAGATTGGAAGCAATGTGTTCAACATAATGGTATTTCCTCCAGTTATTTAAGTCAGCAATGGTCTACCACAAGGCTCAGTCATAGGACCCACCCTCTTTACAATCTTCATAGGTAATGTAGGTCAAAGCATACCTGATTCATCCTTACATTTCTGTGCTGATGACACAGTTGTTTATTGTTGAGCTAAAACAGTTGCTAAGGCTTTCCAGCTTTTGCAATCTGCATGTGACACCATCCAGTCAGATTTGTTCCACCTCAAACTTGTCTTAAATGCTGGTAAAACCAAAGGGGTGCTTTTTTTCAAACAGGAAGTCGGTCCCAGCAGTTCTTCCTCCGATTTTATCCTCAAATGTGTCCCTATTGAGTTTGTTGATTCCTATAAATATTTGTGTATCTTGGTCAACTCGCATCTCTCTTTTAAGCTTCACGTGGAAAACCTAGTAAAGAAACTGAAAGTTACACTGGGTTTCTTTTTCAGAAACAGATCCTGTCTAAATCTGAATGCTAGGAAAGACCTTGTATCTGTGACTTTCCTTCCCTCCATTGACTACGGTGACATTATCTATATGAACGCCCTTACAAGCACCCTGCAGATGTTGGATGCTGCAGATGTTGGATGCTGCAGATGTTGGATGCTGTCTATCATGGTGCACTAAGATTCATAACTGGCTGTAACTATCGTACCCACCATTGCACCCAGTATTCACTGGTTAACTGGTCACCATTAACTTCACACAGACTTTCTCACTGGTACATTTTCATCTTTAAATCACTTTTTGGTCTGCTGCCTTCATACATCTCCTACATGTCTCTGTGTGAGTGCAGCTACAGCGTGCGCTCTCAGGACATTATTACCTGCAGTGTTCCCTCAGTGAGGACTGAACTAGACAAAAAAGACCTTCTCCTACTCTGCTCCTGTTTCCTGGAATATCTTGCAAAAAGATCTGAAACTTTCGACCTTGACCTCTCTAAGTGGCTTCAAACATCTGTTAAGTTCTTGGCAAAAACCCATGCAGACATGTTCCTGTTTTTAGTTTTCTACACTGCCTTATAATCTAGCTGTTTTTTTCACTACTTTTCCTTTTGATTGTCCTTTTGGTTGTTATTTTGTTTTGATTTGCAAAAAAAAAAGAAATTTATGCCTCTTTTGTGACTGTCTATTGTTGTCATTGTTATTCACTGTTGTCATTACCCTTTGCTAAGAAATCAGGTCTCGTAAATGAGTCCCTGAGGCTTAATGGAATTAACCTGTCTAAATAAAGGTTGAATGAATGAAAAAGGTCACCCACCAAACCCCCTTTTCCATAGCTCCTTTGCAGCATGACTCAACTCAGTTCGGTATGTTTTTTTTTTGTTTGTTTGTTTTTTGAATGTCCAGAGGACCAGACTTAACTTTTTTTAGATTTTTCTACGTGGATTATTGAGCATGCCTCAGGGTATCTGTTCGGTATGCTTCCGAGCCGTTTTCCTCTAGCACTTTTTCGTGGAACTGACTCCTTTTTTGGTCCCTCCTTCGCAATGGGACCAAGCGAGCCGAGCCAGCACCAAAACGTGACGTCAGAACACTGTCGGTCACTGATTGATTAGGGGGTGGAGTCACTTGTCTTTCAGAAACTTTTTAAAACAGCCATCTGGCATTTGCATTTACTCGGAACTCGGAGAAATGGCTGGACCTATTTTTAAGATTTTAAAAAGTAATAATGACAACACCGTGGTCTCATGCTCAAGTCCAGGCATTTTTTGTGTTTGATGACCAACGACATAATTCAGATTGATCTAGATGGAGCTCCGCAAGTCCCCGACTCTTCCCGGTCCTCTCCACCAGAGCCCCCTCAGGCCATGCAGGGCGTCATCTCCTTGGCTTCGAGCTCCACCTGTCACTGCAGAAGATCTTCCATGCAGAAGACCTTCCAGTTCAGCGTGAAGAGGCCTAAGTCACACCAATGGTCAGTGGAGTCCTTGGCCAAAGAAATATGGGGGAAGGAGTCAGAAATAGTAAAGAATCTAACCTTAGCTGGATCCAACTTGACAGATAAAGCACACATAGTGTGTGTCCAGAACAAAAATTCAGAGGACAAATGATCATCAGGATTGCTGAGAAAGGGAGCACCGTAAAGATCATCTGCCTCTTACATGATGTGGGCGATACAGTGTAGGTGCAATGGCTTCATAACCACAGCAGAAGGAGAAACAAGAGTCTGCGCCTGCTGCACAAGATTGACAGCTTGATCCATCAGGATGCACCACTGGTACACAAACGGAAACTGTGAGTGTGTCAGTGTGGGGCAAGAAATTTCTGCAGGACTGCGGGAGATTTGCAACCCTGTGGGTGTGGACAAAAGGTTTAATCCAAATGACAGCATTAAATCCCTGGCTAATAAGTTGACAGGACAGTGTGGTGAAATGAGAAACTTATGCTCAACAGTCTTGGGCCCCATGCTATCATCACCAAGATCTGTGCAAGGCACAGGGTCAGAAAACCTCTCATGCACTGCCACACCAGAAGCACCGGTAGAAAACAAAAACTTTTCACTCATTTTCAAATGAGGGGCCTCTGAGGCCTTTATAACAGAGTATGTGGCACCAGAATCAATGAGAAAACTGAGTTTTTTGCTAGCAACCGAGAGAGTTAGCAGTGGATAAGATTTAAAAGCTTCAGATGTGTATTTTACATAGCTGTGTGTGTGTGTGTGTGTGTGTGTGTGTGTGTGTGTGTGTGTGTGTGTGTGTGTGTGTGTGTGTGTGTGTACTCATCTGAAGGGACGAGTCGGGTGGTTGGACGGCCGTCTGCTCCTCCCGTGTCACTCCAGCCTCCGCAGGTCAGGTCGAATGTAGAGGGCCATTGTAGACCGAATTATTTTGGGGAGGACCATTGGCTCTGGAACAGTTCCTCTGCCAGTGGTCAAGTGAACCACACAAGAAGCATTTGTTGTGACCTGGTCCTCTGTCACGTTGTGGTGGAAAACTCTGGCCACGAGCACCAGGTGGTTTGCGCCTGCCGTTGTAAGATGGTGGTTGTGGTGGTGGTTGTTGGTTCTGGTGTCGGTGGTCTCCCACACTCTGGTTTTGCATGGTCTGGACCAGTGCCAAGTGTGCTTTGTTTTTCAGTTCAGTTTTCAGCTTTTTGTCTGATGCTCTCTTTTCTTCCTGGAGTTTTTGAGCATGTTTGGCATGACGGCGTAGCTCATACAGGCATGCATCTTCTACACCCACACAGGAAGCAGGTCAACCCTGAAGGGATGGGTGAGAGTAACCCATTCCTAAAAGCTTGACAAAGGTGGGTTTCCCAGACTTCTCTTGTTTTACCCAGGTTCTGTGGTTCATCAATACCTGAGTTTTCTTTGAACTTTTCATGCAGTCGAGTTCAGTAGTCATCAACTGCTTCGTCAGGCCTTTGTTTACATGCTGAGATTTTGTCCATGTTTACTTGTCTGGAGAAGGTGGCCTTCAGGGTGTTGCACAGGGTAGTCAGTGCATGACGGTAGCAATCATTATCAGCATCGTCAAACCTTGGATTTTGACAGGCATGGTTACCTTCCAGGCTAGCCCTGATCTTGTAGAAATTTGTTGGCCCCAAATGTAGAGTGAGGAGGTGTTTGAGCTCTGGCCATGTCGGCATAACCTCACTGCAGAAGTCCGTGAGGGTGACAGCGAAGTCTTCCAGCTGGATGACAGACTTTTTTTTCGAGCGGACCGCTGCAGCGAGCTAACGGGGAAATCACGGGGAGGCGGAGTGTGTATTTACGTGAGTAAAAGTTGGTGCACGAACTGTACTGTTGTAAATAGCTCATGCTCGAAGGCTTTGGAGCAAATAACAGTGAAATGTCGGCCACATTATCTACCCCGAGAGTTCACAGTGACTTTCATCTCTGTCGTTTACATTCCTCCGGACGCTAATGCTAATGAATCACTGCAGGAGCTACATGATATCATCAGCTCGCTGCAGAGCAAACACCCCGAGGCTCTGTACGTGGTAGCCGGAGACTTTAACCACGTGAATCTAAAGGACTGTCTCCCAAGCTTTAATCAGCATGTGACGATTCCGACACGTGGAGACCGCACGCTGGACCGTGTTTACACGAACGTAAAAAATGCATACAAAGCCGAACCCCGCCCCCACCTAGGACTGTCAGACCACATCTCAATCTTCCTGGCTCCTGCTTACATGCCCCCGCTGAGACGCTCCAGACCGGTACAAAAGAAAGTTAAATGTTGGAGCCAGGACAGTGGACCCATACTGAGAGATTGTTTTGATCGAACAGACTGGCAGGTTTTCAGAGAAGCTGCTGAAAATGAAGGTTCGCTTGATCTTGACCAATACACATCCTCAGTTCTGGGTTACATTAGTACATGTACTGACACTGTCTCCACTATCAGAAATGTTAAAAGCTACCCAAACAGAAAACCTTGGCTGAATGCAGAGGTGCGTACCCTGCTGGAAGCCAGGAACACTGCCTTCAGGTCTGGAAACTCAGAGGAGCTGAGTAGGACAAGAAAAGAGCTGGTTGCTGGTATTAAGAGGGCCAAGGCCACATATGCAAAGAGGATCGAGGGTCAATTCATCTCACAAGACCCTCGGAGCATGTGGAGGGGCATTAAGTGCATAACAGATTATAAAGGAAGGAGTGAACAATGCCCCAAAGACCCATCTCTGCCTGATGCCCTCAACAAGTTCTATGCACGCTTTGAAGACCCGAACAGACCACCCAGCACCAGACTCACCTCGCCACCGGATGAAGAGCATCTCAGCGTGACCTCAGCAGAAGTAAGGAGTACCTTCAGGAGGATTAATCCGCACAAAGCAACTGGCCCAGACAACATCCCCGGAAAAGTGTTGAAGGAATGTGCTGATCAGCTCTGTGAGGTGCTGGCAGACATCTTTAACACCTCACTTACCCTGGAGACAGTTCCCACCTGCCTGAAGACTGCCACCATCATCCCAGTCCCAAAAAGCTCTACAGTGACTGGTCTGAATGACTATCGGCCAGTGGCCCTCACCCCGATAGTCGCTAAATGCTTTGAAAAACTGGTCATGACTCACATCAAAACAACCATCAACATCAACGAGGACCCTCATCAGTACGCATACCGTGAGAACCGATCAACAGAGGATGCAATCTCCTCTGTGGTCCACACTGCACTCAACCACCTGGAGCAGAAAAACTCTTACGTCCGTATGCTCTTTGTGGACTTCACATCCGCCTTCAACACCATGATCCCCCAAACCCTGATGGACAAACTATCCACACTAGGACTAAGCCCCTCCATCTGCAACTGGGTACTAGACTTTTTAACAAACAGACCACAGTTAGTGAGGATCCACAACCTCTCCTCCTCCACCATAACCCTCAGCACTGGCTTTCCTCAGGGATGTGTGTTGAGCCCCCTCCTGTTTACTCTGCTCACATATGATTGTGCAGCTACCCATCCAGGCTGTCACATTGTAAAGTTTGCAGATGATACAGCGGTGGTGGGATGCATCACAAACAATGATGAGTCCAGCTACAGGCAAGAGGTGGAACACCTGGAGAGCTGGTGCAGAGAGAATAACCTTCACATCAATGTGAAGAAGAGAAAGGAGATGATTGTGGACTTCAGAAGGAACAAAAACACCTACACCCCCCTGAACATAAGAGGATCTGTGGTGGAAGTGGTCTCCAGCTACAAGTACTTGGGTGTACACATGAATGACAACCTCAGCTGGAGCAACAACACCACCAGCCTGATCAAGAAAGCTCATCAGAGACTCTACTTCCTCAGACGGCTGAGGCGAGCTGGTCTGGGAAGCTCAGTCCTCACCTCCTTCTACAGGTGTGCAGTGGAGAGCATCCTGTGCTCGAGCATCAATGTGTGGCATGGAGGCTGCACAGCTGCAGAAAGAAAAGCTTTGCAGAGAGTGGTGAAGGCTGCACAGAAATCTGTCGGAATCAGCCTCCCCACCATCACAGACATCTACACCTCCAGATGCAGGAAGAGGGCCACCTGCGTCATGAAGGACCCCACTCACCCAGCACACACACTTTTTGCCCCACTCCCCTCAGGAAGGAGGTTAAGGAGCATTAAGTGTAGAACCACTAGACTGAGGAACAGCTTCTACCCTGAGGCTGGTAGACTCATGAATCTAACTAGAATAATCACTGTGAAAAACCATATCATGTTGCTGCTGATCTGTTTCAATGTTGATGTGTTCATGCGTGCACATCTGCTCACAGACTCATGTTCATGTTTGTGCTGATGTTCAATGTTTTTATGTTATGAGTGCTTAGTATATATTTAGTTGATGTTTTTCTTAGTTCATATCTTAGATGTTATTACTGTTTGGTTAGGGTTAGGGTTAGGGTTAGGGTTAGGGTTACTGTTTTTCTTGTACATTTTATTGTTGGATGTAACTGGGACCCTGTGTACATAATTTCGCTCCACCCCATGTGGTGCGAATGACAATAAAGAAACTCTGACTCTGACTCTGATCTCGTTCAGATGTGTGCCATGATTTTTAATATTTGTAGTTTCAGTACCTTAAATAAAAAAAAAAATACTGTTTTTAATTTGGATTTTAAGTTTTAACTAATTTGAGCTTTTTGAATGTTTGTTTTCTTGATTTTAGCTCTTAACTTTTTACTGCTGATCTGCAAATTGTAGCATTTAGCTGCAGATTTGCTCATTTTAACTATTAGCTGTAATGTTTAGCTTTGGTTTTGGTAATTTTAGCTTTTAGCTACTTTTCCCCTCAATGTTTTTAGTTATGGTTTGGATCACTTAAGCGGCTGTTCAGCATTTATTAACTTTTACAGTTCAGTTTCAGCTGCGTTCACCCTGTATTTTCACAGTTTAGTTTTTTAGATTTATTTTTATAAAATTTAAACAAACCATACAGACCTTCCTTTAAACATGTAAATATTCCTGAAAGTTCCTAAAATCAAATTTGTAACATGTTTTTGGTGCACTCTGTCAGTCAGGACGTTCCCGATGATGAGGTGGTGGCAGGTATTTTTTCTGAGGCCTCTCGGCACTCTGAATCCTGCAGTTCTCCACCGTGGCTCCAGTCAGGATATGTTTACCGCCCCGGAGGTTCCCTGGCATCCTTGGATCGAGCTCTGGGCGTTTACCTGTGCACCCAGCTAGTGGCTGATGAAACAGCCAACGACCTGATTTTCCTCCATGGTAAGGCTTCACTCTTTGTCATCACTGACGTGCTGTGATGTGTTGTCCAACAGAAGGTGACCCTTGTTTATTTTTCAGGTTCCACCCTGGAAGAGACGTGTCGGTTAGCAGAAGGCTACCCAAACCTTGTTCCTGTGATGTCATCAGGAGGCCACCTGGCTCTGCTTGACCCATCTGCACCTTTCCTGTTCCGAGGCAGAAGAAGATACTACAGGTCAGAAATGCACTTGACACAGAGAAGCTCTGTCAGCCACAGCTGCTGTGGTTGTTTGCTGTCTGAGGGATACACCCCATAATAACACAGGTGCCTCCTGATAGCTCAGGGTTTTATCAACATCATGGTTCTTAAGGAGGGACCGTATGTATATTGCAATCTAATCATTTCCACTCACTGCTGTTTTAACCATTCAGAATACAAAACCTTCAGCTCATTTGGAATGTTGCTGTTATAACTTAAAAATATATTTTCTCCATAGAATTAGACTGAGATTTCTTGAATTCCTACAATAACATTTTTCTCTTTGAAATTGGTTCTAGGAAACTTGCCTTTTTTTTGTCACTCTAGTTCTAGTTTTTACCTACCATCCTTCTACTTTTAACATACAGTAATCATTCTGCTACTTTAAGCTTTACATGTTTTAGCATTCCTTTTGGTACTTTTGGCTAGCCTTTTGCTTTTAAACGTTACTACTTTGGCTTTTGCTAGCCTTTTCCTACTCTCAATTTTAGCCACAATTTTGCCACTTTTAACTTTTATTTACTTTTAGCTACCATTATTTGACTACTTTTAGTTTTAATTACCTTTTTCCTACTTTGGGGTTTTAAGTAGTATTTTTTTCTATTTTTAGCTTGTCTTTTGTGGTATTGAATGTTTTATGCTTATTTTAGCTAGTATTGCACTTTTAGCTAATGTTATGCTGCTCTTAGCTAGTGGTATGCTAACTGCAACTAGTGTTATGCTACTTTTAGCAAGTGTTATTCTGCTTTTAGCTAGTTTTATTCTAATTGTAGCTAATTTTATGTTACTTTTAGCTAGTGATATATGCTACTTTTAGCTAGTGGTATACTACTTTTACTTAATGTTGTATGCTACTTTAAGCTAGTGGTGTATACTATTTTAGCTAGTGTTATTCTAATTGTAGCTAGTGTTATTCTAATTGTAGCTAATGTTATTCTACTTCTAGAAAGTGTCATTCTGCTTTTAGGTATTGTTATTCTAATTGTGGCTTGTGTTCTAATTGGGGACTAGCCTCCATGCAATGCATGGAAGGCGCCTATTATTGGGGGCTGCCATTTTATTGATTTGGAAGCAGTCCATTGCAATGGACTGCTTCCAATGCAAATGCATGGAAGCCACCTATTATTCTACACCCAATAAGGGTTTCGTTCTTTCTTTCTTTATTATTATTCCGTCTCAGTTAATGCGGCCCGAACCGCAACGTGGACCCCCACAAAAGTTATATCGAAACGACCGGCCCGGCCCCGAGAAGTGTGCTATTACTTTTATTGGCAATTGGAGTTACCATGGCAACATTTTTTGCTAAAAAAAATGCCAAATTTCCCATAGGAAATGAACGGGAGAAAACTTTTCATAGAGACTGAAGAACGCTGGGAGCCATTTTGGTTCAACAAGCAAGGCAGAGCATTACCTTGCAAAACCGTTTTAGTTAAACATGCAAAGTAGGTTAAGCAGCCATTTTGATTCAACATGCAAGTTAGGTGAAGCGGCCATTTTGATTCAAGATGGCTGCCATAGCTTCCTCAGCAAACACAAAATTGACTATAACTCGGTCATTCTGAGTTATTGAACTACAAAGCAGAAACTCATTGTTGGATTTGTTTGAAACTTGCAGAAAGTAATCATCAGACTTATCTCTAGAGCTGATTAACATTTGGAGCCGTTTTGATTCAAGATGGCTGCCATTGCTACCTCAGCATACATAAAATACAGGAAAATGAATAACGCTGTGAGCCATTTTGGTTCAGCATTTAAGGCAGAGCATTGTCTTGCGAAGACATTTTGGTTATACATGCAAGTTAGGTGAAGTGGCCATTTTGATTCAACATGCATATTAGGTGAAGTGGCCATTTTGTTTCAACTTGCAAGTTAGGTGAAGTGGTCGTTTTGTTTCAACATGCAAGTTAGTTGAAGTGGCCATTTTGATTCAACATGAAACTTCGGTGACGTAGCTTTTGGAAATCAAAAATCCATGATAGCCGACAATGCAAAAATGGAAAAATACTATAAATCGGAGAAGGCCCTTTTGCCTAGTTCAGTCCTCATTTAGGGAACACTGCAGGTAATAAGGTCCTGAGAGCGCACTCCGTAGCTGCACTCATGCAGAGACATATAGGAGGAGATGTATGAAGGCAGCAGACCAAGAAGGGATTTAAAGATGAAAATATACCAGTGAGAGAGTCTGCGTGAAGTTAATGATGTCCAGTTAACCAGTGAATACAGGGTGCAGTGGTGGGTACGATAATCACAGCCAGTTATGAATCTTAGTGCACCATGATAGACAGCATCCAACATCTGCAGGGTTCTTGTAGGAGCGTTCATGTAAATAATGTCACCATAATCAATTGAGGGAAGGAAAGTCACAGAAACAAGGCATTTTCTAGCATTCAGGGTTAGACAGGATCTGTTTCTGAAAAAGAAACCCAGTTTAACTTTCAGGTTCTTTATCAAGTTTTCCACATGAAGCTTAAAAGAGAGATGTGAGTCGACCAAGATACCGAAATATTTATAGGTATCAACAAACTCAATGGGGACACCATTTGAGGATAAAATCGAAGGAAGAACTGCTGGGACCAACTTCCTATTTGAAAAAAGCATCCCTTTGGTTTTGTCGGCATTTAGGACAAGTTTGAGGCAAACAAATCAGTCTGGATGCTGTTGAATGCAGATTTCAAAAGCTGGAAAGTCTTAGCAACAGTTTTAGCTCGACAATAAACAACTGTGTCATCAGCATAGAAATGTATGGATGCATTAGGGATGTTTTTACCTACATTATGTATGTAGATTGTAAAGAGGGTGGGTCCTAAGACTGAGCCTTGTGGTACACCATTGTTGACTGTTAAATAACTGGAGGAAGTACCATTATGTTGAACACATTGCCTCCGGTCTGAAAGATAGTTAGAGAACCAACCAATGGTGTGATCTGAGAAACCGATTTCTGAGAGTTTATGACACAAGATGTTCTGATCCACAGTGTCAGAATCTTTAGACAGGTCTAAGAAAAGTGCAGCACAATGATCCTTAGCATCCAGTGCTTCAACAACGTCATTAAGAACCTTCAGTGAAGCAGTGGTTGTGCTGTGTTGTTTCCTGAAACCAGATTGATGTGGAGGTAAGATGTTAAATGAGTCCAGGTAATTTTTGATTTGAGAGTTTATCAGTTTTTCTAGAACCTTGGCTAAAATGCAAAGTTTAGAGATTGGTCCATAGTTGTTCAGTGAGGGGGGGTCACCTCCCTTCAGCAAAGGAAGAACAAAGTCTGTTTTCAAGTGTCTGGATGGAGTTTTGTCTTATGGAGAGATTGAAGATGTGGGTCACAGGGACTGTGATGATATGAGCAGCCAGCCTTAAAAAATAAGGTGGAAGTTCATCAGGACCTGCAGATTTTTTAGGGTCAAGATCTTTTAACAGTTTATTGACCTCACTGACTGAGAATGGAGAAAAAGAGAAGCTGTGATTAACTGAGGATTGACTTGTAGGAGGGATTTGATTTGTAGAAGTTTGGTTATTAGGGGAAGTGGCTGATCTTCCATTAGTAACTGTATCAAATAAAGAACCAGAAGCAACAAAATGTTTGTTGAAACAGTTCAGGATCTCGGGCTTAGGCGAGCCGATTTGCCCTGTTGGCACGCACGCAGCTGAATGTCTCATCGACTTTGAAGATTTGATGACGTGTCTATCTCTGCTGTCATCTGTGGATTTTAAGGACACATTTATAATTGGATTTATGATAACCGGTTCCTGCTTTTTGGATTCGGCTGGTTCCTGGTCTATCAACAAACAAGGGAGTTGTTGGCAGCAAATCTGGACCTGGTCAGGCTGCCTGCCTTATATGATGGCTTGGTTCGTGCTTCAAACACCCAGACTTTTGGCAGAACGGATCAGATCTAGGGGATTATTCTCAAGCATGTTCCATTGGTATGGTCATTTAATTTGGACGTTTCGAATTCGAGTGGACCAACACATACTCAAGGTAGATGTCATTAAAGTTCTGTGTGTCCCCAAAACAATCGTGTTTATCTGAATTTGGCTCCCTCACTGGCCTTGACTGGCCATCTTATCTCAACCCACCTGGATGTTTTGTAAACCTGATGCGCTAACCCCTCCTTCCCCTCCTACTGAGGAAATTCCATGGACTTTTCAGAGGAGCCCAGCTGAATAAACATTCTGTCATCATTTCAGGACTCTGGATTCGTCTCTGGTCGTCCTCGACACCCCCCAAGTGTGCACGGATCTCTCCAGAGAGAACTTTATGAACTGAGTGATTTTATCTGAACTCTGTAGTGCCTCTGTGTGTTGTCTCTGGCTGCTTACCGCCCTTGCGTCCACCCCCCATGTAATGTTGGCGTCATTATGTGCCAGTGTGCAAGATTTTTTTTTTCATTATCACATTTTTGACCTTCAAACAAAGGTCAAAAGTGTGTTAGGATTTTTTTTCTCCAAAATCTATGTATCATTTTTCACCCCTTTTTATTGTCTGTCCAAACAGGTCTCACTTGTAAATGAGTCTTCGGGGCTCATTATGACTTATGTGTTTAAATAAAGGTTGAATGAATGAATGAAAATTTTCTGCTGCTTTAAGCAGTACATGTTCCAATTTTTTTTCTTTTAACTAACATTTAGCTTCTTTTTAGCTTTGAGTTAGTGTTCAGCCTTGTATAACAGATTTCAGCTGTTATTTAGCACACAGCAGATTTTTTTGTTGAGCGGTCCGTTTGCATTGCTCCAGCAGCATACACACTCTAAACCTGTGTGTGTGTTGGCTGCCATTCTGCAGCTTTTTCAGCTCCTGATTTCCTGTGTGTGCTGCAGGTGTCAGCGGTGCTCCAAGGCCATATTGAGGAAGCCGAGCTTCGACATGTTGGAGGAGATTGACGAGAAGGTTATTGCAGAAGGTAAGACGTTTTTGGAGAAATGTTTAGTGCAATAGGACCATCAGAAAAAAACAGTAAATTAATTTCATATGATTAAAACTCTGAAACTGAACACAGCACCTTGGAAAAGGTTATATCTGTTCATATTTTTCCTTTTTTGTTGCTCTCAAGGTGAGTGGTTTTTGATTATACCAAAAAAAAACTGAATTTATTTCAGAATTCACTCTTCAGTTAGTATTTTTGTAAAAATGTATATCATATATATATATGTATGTATGTATGTGTATGTATATATATATATATATATATATATATATATATGTATGTATATGTGTGTGTGTATATATATGTATGTATACAGGGCCTTCTCAAAAAATTTGCATATTGTGATAAAGGTCATTATTTTCCATAATGTTATGATAAAAATGAAACTTTCATATATTTCAGATTCATTGCACACCAACTGAAATATTTCAGGTCTTTAATTGTTTTAATACTGATGATTATGGCATACAGCTCATGAAAACCCAAAATGCCTGTCCCAAAAAATGAGCATATCATGAAAAGGTTCTCTAAACAAGCTATTAACCTAACCATCTGAATCAACGACGTAACTCTAAACACCTGCAAAAGATTCCTGATGCTTTTAAAAACTCCCAGCCTTGTTCATTACTCAAAACCGCAATCATGGATAAGACTGCCGACCTGACTGCTGTCCAGAAGGCCATCATTGACACCCTCAAGCAAGAGGGTAAGACACAGAAAGAAATTGCTGAACGAATAGGCTGTTCCCAGAGTGCTGTATCAAGGCACCTCAGTGGGAAGTCTGTGGGAAGGGAAAAGTGTGTCAGAAAACGCTGCACAACGAGAAGAGGTGACCGGACCCTGAGGAGGATTGTGGAGAAGGGCCGATTCCAGACCTTGGGGGACCTGCGGAAGCAGTGGACTGAGTCTGGAGTAGAAACATCCAGAGCCACCGTGCACAGGCGTGTGCAGGAAATGGGCTACAGGTGCCGCATTCCCCAGGTCAAGCCACTTTTGAACCAGAAACAGCGGCAGAAGCGCCTGACCTGGGTTAGAGAGAAGCAGCACTGGACTGTTGCTCAGTGGTCCAAAGTACTTTTTTCGGATGAAAGCACATTTTGCATGTCATTCGGAAATCAAGGTGCCAGAGTCTGGAGGAAGACTGGGGAGAAGGAAATGCCAAAATGCCAGAAGTCCAGTGTGAAGCACCCACAGTCAGTGATGGTCTGGGGTGCCATGTCATCTGCTGGTGTTGGTCCACTGTGTTTTATCAAGGGCAGGGTCAATGCAGCTAGCTATCAGGAGATTTTGGAGCACTTCATGCTTCCATCTGCTGAAAAGCTTTATGGAGATGAAGATTTCATTTTTCAGCACGACCTGGCACCTGCTCACAGTGCCAAAACCACTGGTAAATGGTTTACTGACCATGGTATTACTGTGCTCAATTGGCCTGCCAACTCTCCTGACCTGAACCCCATAGAGAACCTGTGGGATATTGTGAAGAGAAAGTTGAGAGGCGCAAGACCCAACACCCTGGATGAGCTTAAGGCCGCTATCGAAGCATCCTGGGCCTCCATAACACATCAGCAATGCGACAGGCTGATTGCCTTACACACAATTATGGTGTTGATGTGAACAAACAAAAGTCAGCACATGAAATATTATTATCTGATGTGTGTTATGTTTTTTACCAAGGGTAGTGTATTTTTGTTTACATAGAGAAGGTGGGATTTAAGTCCTGAACTGGAACCAGCTGATCCTGGTCAGGCTTCAACTTCCAGATTCCAGTCTTATAAATGGTAAATGGACTGTACTTATATAGCACCTTTCTATCTTATCGAGATACACAAGGTGCTTTACATTACAAGCTGTGTCCTCATTTACCCATTCATACAGCTCTCTACTAGATCTCTACAAAGCTAATTGAACAAATCATTCTAAAGAGACTAATCAGAGCTTTTTCACATTCATTCACTGATGGGACACACATCGGAGGCAACGAGGTTCAGTGTCTTGCCCAGGGACACTTCAGCATGTGACTGCTGGTGGATTCGAACCTCCAACTCTTGCATTGGAGGACGACTGTCCTGGTCTTATGTCTACCTAATGATGACATGAGCATGTCTGCTGTCAGTGTGGCAAAGATACCTGCCGCTCTTAATGTCAACACAAACTGGTTTATTTTTTTAAGTGATTCCACATCTAACTTTATATTCTTTTTGCCCAACCCCCACCCCACTCCCCCCAATGATTGCTGATTGAGAACATTTTGCCCAAATCTATTTGTGGGTGATTGAGAGTAAATTGCAGGAAAAGGTGAAGTCAAGTTTGCCCTAAAATGAACATGATGAAAGAGCTCTGAGGACAGACCATCTAGGAGCCTCGCTGCTGGAAGCCTATAACCTCAGACACAGACCTCTAAACTGGACTTTATTCACATACATTGAGTTTTTAAACTGTTGAGCTGCTGTTGGTGTGTTGTCAGTGATTTGTGTTAGTTTCTCTTCTCCGCTCAGTGAGTTGTAAAAGTTGTTTATCATGTGCTGCTCTCAGGTCAGCATGCCTCTGATATTGATGCTGTCCTCTCTGGTTCTGCAGCTCTTGGTGTTCAGCTGCTGCAGTTTGTCCTTCTGCTGAAACTGGAGCTGCAGGACTCGACGGACACATTGAATGTACTCCTGATGAAACACACGGTGAGTTGGAGATTCAGATGTCAGCTCTCAAAGAAAATCAAGAATTGATCTCAAATTGGAGAGAAAGTTTGAGCTGTATGTTCAAACTGTGAAAATAATTTGTTGTGGCGTCTCAACAAGACACAACTCAAACAGCTCCGTATTAAAAGCTCAATAACAACAAATACATAACTTCAAAACTATTATAGATCATCAAAGATACTGATTCACAACAGTCTTTGTTCCAACATTTGTCCTGGCCTTCTGTAAGACACCCAGGACACAAACAGCTAAACATCTTTACCAACACTGCGCTCCTGCTGTCAGCATCTAACTCCCAACTTTTGTTGTTCTGGTTTGTCTCATAGCCCCAAACTGTGAGAACTTTCACAAACTAAATCCAACTAGAGAAAATGCAGTGAGAATGCTTATTGCTGAAGAACTTGCCAGGCATGAATTTAGCAGAAGACAGCAGAAAGAACATGTTTGCCTAATTAGGCCGAAAGAAGCAGAAATGAACACAAAACAGATTATCTGAAAAAAAAGAAGCCGAAATTAGTGACCAAAAAAGCAGCTTAAAAGTAGCTAAAAAGCAGAAAGAAGTGTACATTATCAGAAGGAAGTGGAGCGAGCACATTTTTGCAGAATTAGGCAGAAAAAAGTTGAAATGAGTGCATAAAAATGTGAAATTACCCGAAAAAGCTGTAATTAGCATAGAAAACGCCTAAATAGTAGCCGAATATTCACACTAGGACTAAGCTCCTTCATTTGCAACTGGGTACTAGACTTCTTAACAAACAGACCTCAGTCTGTGAGGATCCACAACTTCTCCTCCTCCACCATAACCCTGAGCACTGGCTCTCCTCAGGGATGTGTGTTGAGCCCTCTCCTGATTGTGCAGCTACTCATCCAGGCTGTCACATTGTAAAGTTTGTAAATGATACAGTGGTGGTGGGATGCATCACAATGATGAGTCCAGCTACAGGCAGGAGGTGGAACACCTGGAGAGCTGGTGCAGGAAGAACAACTTTCACATCAATGTGAAGAAGACAAAGGAGATGATTTTGGACTTCAGAAGGAACAAACACACATACACCCCCCTGAAAATAGGAGGATCTGCAGTGGAAGTGGTCTCCAGCTACGAGTACTTGGGTGTACACCTGAATGACAACCTCAGCTGGAGCAACAACACCACCAGCCTGATGAAGAAAGCTCATCAGAGACTCTACTTCCTCCGACGGCTGAGGCGAGCTGGTCTGGAAGCTCAGTCCTCACCTCCTTCTACAGGTGTGCAGTGGAGAGCATCCTGTGCTCCAGCATCAACGTGTGGCATAGAGGCTGCACAGCTGCAGAAAGAAAAGCTTTGCAGAGAGTGGTGAAGGCTGCACAGAAGATGTTGGAGTCAGTCTCCCCACCATCACAGACATCTACACCTCCAGATGCAGGAAGAGGACCACCTGCATCATGAAGGACCACACTCACCCAGCACACACACTTTTTGCCCCACTCCCCTCAGGAAGGAGGTTGAGGAGCATTAAGTGTAGAACCACTAGACTGAGGAACAGCTTCTACCTTGAGGCTGTTAGACTCATGAATCTCTAACCAGAATAATCACTGTGAAAAATCACATCATGTTGCTGCTGATCTGTTTCATGTTGCTGCTGATGTATTTCATGTTGCTGCTGATCAATTTCATGTTGCTGTGTTCATGCTGCTCATCTGCTCACTCACATTCATGTTTGTGCTGCTCTTCGATGTAATGTTTTTATGCTATTAGTGCTTAGTGTATGTTTACCTGATGTTTTTCTTAGTTCATATCGTAGATCTTATTACTGTTTTTCGTTTACATTTTATTGTTGGATGTCACTGGGACCCTGTGTACATAATCTTGTTCCACCACATGCACCACATGGGGTGCGAACGACAAATGAACCTTGAATCTTTGAAATTGCAGAAAAAGCTTAAACTTGCAGAAATCAGCTGAATGGATCATAACAAGCTGAAATTAGCTGAAAGAAATTAGAAAAAGTACAAAAATTGTGTTGTTAGCAGAAATATTCAGAAAGGAGCACAAAACAGCTGAAAGTAGCTGAAAAAAGTTTTGAGGAAGCTGAAAGAAGCTGAAGCAGAACAAAATGTTAAAGGAGCAGTAAAAGGTTGTAAACAGATCTAAAGATCTAAAGGATGGAAAATGAGCTTAATTAATTTTATAGGAGAAAAAATGGCAGAAAAGGCTAAATATTTCAAACAGCTAAAGTTGCACTAATACCTAAAGTCATAGCAGGATTGTCCTGAAAGAGCTGAATGATTTGATTTATGATTTGTTGAAATAGCTGAAAACTGCAGGACGAAGATGCTGAAAAATGTACAGACGAAAAATAGATCACAGTAGTGAGACAACTTCATAACCATTCAGACAGTACATCCAGCTCACTCCCTGCTCAAGCTACTGCGCCCACAACCCGTCTTCGGAACAAGCGGAAGAGAATGGATGGATGGATGGAAGGATGGATAATTCTTTTCAAAAGTGGTCCAAAAACTACAAAGGATGTGTCAAAGTTCCAAGTGGCTCTATTAGGGTTCGTGCAGCCTCTGATCCATGGTCCTGATGGCTGAAAATCCAGAAGAACACAGCTCTGTCAGAGCATTTAAGGAATAAGCTGAGAGTGCTGACATCAAGAAAGTCCCTTCTATGTCACTGAGTGTTTTTTTCGTCCTTCAGGAGCTGTTCTTCAACGTGTTGGCGGAGGACGCGTCCACCAACGAGGAGGCTCAGAGCAGGGTCAGACAAAGCATGGACATCCTTTGTCCACCAGAGGGTAGCATGGGTACGTAAGTCAACAGTAACAACCCTTAAGAGAGGACAAAAAACTTTTCTACTGAATCAGTTATGTGCTTTATGCTGTAAAGCCTACAGCAACTGAATTAGCTTGTGTTTATTTACAAACTACTATTAAAAGAAACCCGGTGGTGGTAGAGAGAGTCACCGATGTCCAAATGCACCACGAAGATGATCAGCGACTGCTTTAAACACGTTAAAGGAATTCATTTTTTCATTTATAAACATGTCTGTGTCATTTAACAGATAGATACTCAGAATTCCTTAAACAGACTCTTCTTCCACTGAACACACTCGTGTTTTGGCACCATAGAAACTGTTTAGGAGCTCAGTCTGATTTCACCGGCAGCTCTCAGGATTAAAGGCCGTCTCAGGTTTGTAACTTTGGCTTTTTGTCAGGTGAGCGTCCGTGGCTCGACCTGTGTCTGACGGCATACAGAGCCGAAGATGATGGACAGAACCAAACCTGCTACCAGATCTGCAACACGACCCTCCTCACACCTCTACCCAACATGACCCCTCCTGAAGGAGTGTCTCATAAAAGAGAAGAACCACGGTGTTCCTCTGAAATTCACTCAGTAAATAATGTAAATGTGATGTGAGGAGACTTTACAAATCAGGGATGGGTTTGTGTTTTTTCTTACAATGCTTATTTTATTTATTTTTTATTGGCTTTCAAAATAAAAGAGTACATTGAATATATTCACAGCTTGGTCTTTGAGAGCTTATTGTTTTTTTCACCTTACAGGTGCCAACTAATCTGTTTGTAACCCTTTATTAAAGAAAAAATAAATTGACCAAGGTCACTGAATGAACTTAAAATTGGCAAAAAGAAACAAATACTAAAACTCAACCAATGGAATCAGTCACTGCTTTGAATTTTGGATCAGCAAAATTATTTTATAAACAAACTCATGAAACTTGTATCCTGATGCATGCTAAATGATCCAGGTAGAAAAATCTAAAAAAAGTTAAGTGGTCCTCTGGAAGGGTTAAAAAACATGGAACTTGTCTTCTGTGACCACAGGGTATGAAAATGTGACACATACTCAGCTCAGGTGTGTCCTGTAATCAGCATCCCATGTGTTTTCAGTCTAATCAGTGTCTATTTAAATGATGACCGGTAGTCACAGGGCTGTTTGGTATCATGGTGTGTAACACACTGAACACAGGAAGCTGAGGACAGACCTGCTTTAATCAGTCTTCCTTTATATCAATTCATTTCAGTTTATTGATATAGTGCTAAATCACAACAAAGTTGTCTCAGGGCACTTTACAGGAACATTCACATAAAAACCAATTAGTAAAGTTCTCTATCTAAGGAATCCAGCAGACAAGTTGAATCTTGGCTTTGTTGCAGTCTCCCATCCTGAGCAAGCACAGTGGAGACAGTGGAAAGAAAAACTCCCTTTAACAGGAAGAAACCTCCAGCAGAACCAGCTCAGGACCAAGGGCGTCAGAAGCATCCGTAATGTGGGGGGGACATAATGATGTGTGTAGGTGTGTGTGTGCGCGCGTAAAAAAAGGTGTTCATTAGTGAACAAAAAAAGCAGCATTCCACCTTGATTTCAGAGTCAGAGTTTCTTTATTGTCATTCGCACCTCATGTGGTACATGTGGTGGAGCGAAATTATGTACACAAGGTCCCAGTTACATCCAACAATAAAATGTATAAGAAAAACAGTAATAACGTCTAAGATATGAACTAAGAAAAACATCAACTAAATATACACTAAGCACTCATAACATAAAACATTGAGTGCTCCTTTAATTTCCTTTAATTTCACACATTTAAAACATGTTTATCACCAAGTTTGTGTAAATTCATCTGTGGGTTTTAAAGATTTTTTTTTTTTTTTCCCTTGTCCTGTCCGGCATTGTGACACTTAGAATTATTGTCGGAGTGTCAAAGTGATGCCCAACAGATTTACTTTCACAAGCAGAGCATCATGGCTGGCCTTAATGCTCCAATTGATATATAAATTAAATTTTATTAGAATATGCTTTGGGTTTGTTCCAGATGCAATGGACACGGGGACAGAAAACAAAGAAGATAACAAAGCAGAAAAGTGAGAGAAGAGTTAAAATGTAAAGAAGGAGATGGGAATAGAGGAGAGAAAGAGGGATAAAGAGAACACAAATCAACATCATTGAAGTCTGACTCTAGACCTGCGGAAAGAGAAAAAAACCCCCGACAAAACCAAGAAACCACAACAACAAACAACTTATATAATGATACTTATAACATCATTAGAAAGTATTTTATACAGTACATGATAATACAATATATATTTGATGGCCACCACAACCCAACTGAGTGTGTATCTGATAAACACCTGAATCTAAACACCTGTGTAGTGAACTAAGCCTCAGGTCAAATCTGGCCCTGAGGGCCTTCCTGGGACAAGAACTGTTATCTCATTGATTTGAGTCCAGAAACACAAAATTAAGTTCATCCAGAGACTTTCTAAGTGTGTCCTGCACTGATCAATTGAAAGAACACTCTCTTTTTTATTATCATTACTATTTTACAAATGTCTTGATAATCAAAAGTGTGTTTAGTTCAAACCATTTTAAATGTTGAAGTGAACTACTCATTTTAAATCAACTGTGAAACAGTATAAATGATTTTTAATCCTCATTCAAAGTAGAAATCTAGTTAATGTCTGTTACAGAGTAATTACTCATTTTCTTGATCTTCTGTCTGAAATGAGCAGGTTGTAAGTCGGTCAAAAGTCAAGTTTCGGTCAACTACATGTTTACTGGAAAGAAATGTCATGTTTAACTTTTTCAGACAGATAGAAGTAGAACTGGCACCTAAAAGTCTCGGTTTCTTCAAAACATCTTTCTGTCTGTTCTTAAACAACTTAATCTTTTTCCTTGACTTTTAATAACCTCTTACATCACTAAGACCACACCCTGTTGGTTCGTTGCGACCAATCAGGAAGTTCTCAGAGGAACCGGAACTGAACTCTTTAAAAGGGTCGACACTTCCTAGTTCCAACCAGTGCGGTGGGAGAGCAGTTCAGTTCGGAGGGCAGAACCGAACAGAAAAGTTGCTGGAGAGAACAAGAAGTTCCAGACATGATCCGAAGTTCTTCCGAGTCTCGTGGGAATTATGGAATCTTCCACATCTGAGTGGAACCTCTGACGGACTTACTCCTCATGTGAGTCCACCCGTGAGGTGAACGTGTGTTGAACGAAGTACCGTCACTACTCCGGACGTTTCCCAACCATCCTACGGAGACGCTGGAAATGGTAGCGTTAAATGGAACTCCGTACCAGCTGATTCATCTTCAGAGAGGTAACGAGTCGATTTCCTACCGAAGCGTACCGAGGTGAAACTGGGTTCGAATGGAGAGTGCCGTTCTTATACCGACACATTTTCCCTCACACATCTTTTCTCTCCAGATAAACTCCCTCATTTCCCATCTTTAAAACTCTTCTATCTGCCAGTAATTAATCCAGATATTTTCAGAAATGTCTGTTGTAATTAGTTAAGCTATGTTATTGCGTACAATCAGAATAATCACGTGTACAATGTTTGATGTTAAACTTTGATTCTGTTAATAAATGACCGCATTCATTTTGATGGGTCAAAGAAAATTAACGTCTCACGTCACTGATCTCTGTCACATATCTGTCAAGTAGCTCGAAAAAGAGAGAACCCGTTTAAATTAAGTATAATATCAGGTACTTGAACTAGTCCAGATATTATAACATGTAGTGGAGCTCCGAAGCTAACGAAGCTAACCGACCTGTCTCACTACACCTCTGTGAGCATGCTTATCACTATAAGGTTTATCCATAAAAATGTTCAGTAGTGGATGTGGGGACCCATAAACCCGTCCCCACAGGACACGAAGGTAACACAGGGAAGACCGGAACCACAGACACACAGCGGTCCCCAAGCCCGGAACTCCGGTAGTCCTCCAACAGGGACACCCGCACCCCCCAGAGAGAGAAGCAAAGGGAAGCCCCGGTCGATCCTCAGCAACCACAATGCAGAAACCCCCAGAAGGCCGTAGCGACAAGTCAACAGGCCCCGACGGCAACCCGCCCCTCCAGAGTGGATCCGGCCATGGACACCGAGTCCCGAGGTCATACCACCCCCCAACAGAGGCCCGACAGAGCCAGGGCACCCAGGCCCCCGCAGGCAGCCACCAGGGCGGGCCCGCACACACCCCACCACCCAGCCCTAGCTGCAGAGAGCCGCCAATGCACTGGCGGCAGACGGGCCCACCACCGGAGGGGAGCACGACCCACCAAATGCGGGGCCAAAACTGGTCCAAGAGAGGGGGGCCACCCAAAACCCAACCTGAGACAAACAGGCACACAGAGACAGCCCGACAGAGCCTCTGTTGGGCTCTGCATGCGCCCCACCCGCCCAACAGTGACCGCAAGCCGGCCCCAGGCCGGGGACCAAAGCAGCAGGGAGCAACAGCCGAGGAAGGCCGGCCCAGCACACCAATGCATCCCTAAAGCCCTACACCACAGGCCCGGAGAAGCCCC